TTTTTTTTTTGGCTAGGAACATCACAGTGGGCCCATCTTTGAAAAATATATTTGGATTTTAGAAGCCTTGAATTTTTTACTTGGCAACTTACACTGTTGGGTGATTCTTTGAATCTGATGCATTTGATCAAAGACTATGAAAACTTACTAAGTAAACAAATAATCATCCTAAGAAAACAGTGTAACTTAACACTTTTATATGGCCTGTTAAATGTCATTTCTTCCCAAAGATGTTTCCTAGTAGGCTCTTTTCAATTACAAACCTATGTGAAAGTGAATATTTACAAAAACAATATGAACCTCCATGAGCATTCTGCAGAATATGACTAGGCAATTTAGAAAAACTTATATGATCGTATATTCACATATTTATATATGTACACATATATGTATATATTTATAATATCTTATAGTCTCCATTGGGGAAGTGAGTCTTAAAAAACTGACAAGAACATTCAAAAGAGTTCTGGCAGCATACTCAGAGGACAGATTTTCCCCAGCATGTACTTAAGGCATGAAATTTTAAATGGATTCTAGTACTTATTTGGCAATAGATGTTCCTCCCTTTTTGCTGGTGATCAGATTATATTTATAGGCATGTGGAAGATAAAAAAAGGAAACTGTGCAAGAGAATGTAGTAAGAGATACAAACTTCAACTTCCTTATTTGTAACACAGAGAAAATAACATATCCTAGTTCACGATATTGTTTTCAGGGTCAAGTCCAAAAAAAAAAAAATGTACATAAATGGGCTGAGGGTGTAGCTCAGTGGTTGAGCATAGCACGTGCTTTAGCCTGTGCCAGGCCCTGGGTTTGGTCCCCTCAAATAAATGAATAAAAAAATAAAAACAAAAAGCACACAAAATACTTAAATTGATAAACAGGACCTTATAAATTCAAAGCACAGCAGGAAACCTCTAGGATAGAGGTGGGGAAAAGATTGTCAGCTTACCCTGCCCACGAGGCCCCTCAGTGTCCTTTCCATTCCACTGTGGCGTTGACTTTGGAATTTCGAGCACATTTCACATTCTTGATCTCATTTGATCTTCTGAGCCTTCAGGATATACCCTTCTTAGCCGAGGGAATTGAGACTCAGACAGAGGAGACTGATGTCAGTGAAGGCTGACTGATGGATCCTACAACCCAGGTATCTTGGTACCAACAAAGCACTTCAAGAATAATAAATATATTTTTTTAAATTGCTGGTAGCATATTTAGATATCACCTAGTACATTTTCTTGACTTTACAGTTCAGGAAATTAAGAGGTAAAGGGTTCAATGACTATCTTAGGGTCACAAAAACATTTAGGACTAACATCCTTGTTCCCAAATTCCCAGGTCAGGCACTAAGTTATACCTTCTAAAATCTCATTTGATGGTGGCCATAATCCAGCCCTTGCCTGGGTCTGCCTATGTCCCTGGCCTCAACTCCTGCTCCCTCTCTCTTACCTCCTCCTCTCCTATCATACTCCTTCCTGCCTCAGGCCCTTTGTGAGTGTCATTCTATCTGCCTGCCATGATCTCTACCCCTGGACTTTCTCAATACTAGTTTCAGCTGTCACCCACCTAGGTAAGCCTTAAATTAGAACACATGGGCTGCTACCCTGTACCCATTTTACTCTCTTCATAGCACCTGCCATTAGTTATTTTCTCTTGTGTACTGAACTATTTATTTTGTGTCTGTGCTCTGTAGTATCAACTCCAAAGAGAAAAAGGCTATGAAGGACAGGCTCATCTCTGTGCCTAGAACTATACAGACACAGAAGAGATGCCTGACATATCTGTATAACATGAATAAAGAAACATGTTCCAGTCAAAAATGACCAGTGGCAATGTCCCAAATATTCACTGGCTAGGGTGGTAGTTGAGGCCAGTCTAGAGTGTATCACTGCATGGAGGGGGAGGCAGAGAGGAAATCTCATCCTTTGGGGGATGGGGAGCCCCTGAAGAGGATTCAGGCAAATACAGAGCCCTTATTCTATTCCAGGGCCTATGAGACGCTTTCCTATAAGGATTAACTTAGTTAACCATCACATCAACCTGTGAGCTGGGGAAAATCACTTTCCCATTTGCAGGGGACACCGAAGCACAGGAAGAAGGCGTCCCTTCTTCAAGGTTCTACAGCTCATGTGTGGTAAAAGCAGGGGTTTTAACTCAGGCAGGAACTCTTTTGCCCTCACCTGATGATGATGAGATGATGATGATGATGATGATGATGATGATGATGATGATGATGATGATTCTTCTACCTTTCAGCCAAGCCAGTTAGGAAGTGAAAAGATCTACTAGAGGTTGGGCGGTGGGATTTTTTCTGGTCTCTCTGGAGGCCTGGTTGTCTTAGGTGGCAGGGATGGGAACCAAATGACACCATCCTGCAGCATGCTGTTCCGTCTCTTGCGTGGCTTTCTCCCCGTCAGATAGTGATGGTCTGAGAACCCACCTATTGGGCTCCTCTCATTTGGCTAATCACCTAGCGTGCTCACCTGGGATGCACACAGCACCTTTAACTCACTCGGGATGTCTTCCTACCCAGGTACCATATCAGTGAACAGCAGGCGCACGCCATTCACCGCCAGTGGGGAGAGCGAGATCCTGGACCTGGAGGGAGACATGTACCTGGGCGGGCTGCCGGAGAACCGTGCTGGCCTCATCCTCCCCACGGAGCTCTGGACCGCCATGCTCAACTACGGCTACGTGGGCTGCATCCGCGACCTGTTCATCGACGGGCGCAGCAAGAACATCCGGCAGCTGGCGGAGATGCAGAACGCCGCGGGCGTCAAGTCCTCCTGTTCACGGATGAGCGCCAAGCAGTGTGACAGCTACCCCTGCAAGAACAACGCTGTGTGCAAGGACGGCTGGAACCGCTTCATCTGCGACTGCACAGGCACGGGCTACTGGGGAAGAACCTGCGAAAGGGGTGAGTCAGCCTTCGCAGGTGGCATGCTCCAGTCCAAGTGGAAATGGGTGTTACAGGTGTATCCCTGGACAGCCCGAGCCTTTGTTCCACCTGCACTCTTCTTCCAAATAAGAATTTTGGGGTTCACTGGTTACCAGAACACACCATTCTAGTTCTGAGTGCCTAGCATCATTTGGCTAGAGTTAGGTAGAAGAAAGAAAAACTTTAAAATAGATATTATTATACTCATATGTTTTTGATTAGGTATCTTCTCTTTAGAGAGGATGAATCGTTCTTCTTTGAGATTCCAGGAGAGCCAGTCTGCTGGCTGTTTCATTTATTCCGTGTTTCCTGAATAGTTTCTACATGCTAACTCCTGGGCTAGGCTTTAAAAACAGAATATCAAACAAGATGGATATAGGCCTATCCTTACAGAGCTTGCTGCCTAGTGGTATTAAATAACCAATGGTAAACATGGTGGGTTTCATAAGAGGTGGTGCGATGGATGGGTAGCAAACACAGAACTCTAGGGCCAGACTAGATGAGAAGTTTGACCTTTATGGAGTCATGTGAACCTCATGAAGGAAATAAGTATCTCTGAGACTTAATTGTCTCATTTGTAAAATGGTGATATTTAGGCACCACCTCACCAGATATCAATGATGATCTGACTTAATAGGTTCCTAAAATGTGTGCATTTAACAACCACTAGTGACTCTATGAAGATTGTAGTTATTATATCAGCTTTGTTATTATTGTCAACTTTATTGAAGCAAAGTACAGAAAAGTTCCAGAGACCTTTGTAAGAACACTCAATGTACTATAGGGATCCAGATAAAACTATTCAAAGAAAAAAAATACCTAAGATAAGAGGTGAAATATGAATAGCAGCTGCCTTGGCAGAGAAGTGGCAGGAAGGAGTGTGATCTAAACAGGACAGATATAAGAGACATGGTGGTATTGAAGAACTGAACAAAGTCCACAGTGGACTCCAGGCTTTCTTCCTTTGAAAACAAAGTCCATAATGCAAAGGGGACCCAGAGAGGTGGCTAAAGAAGTAAAGCCAACCCTTTAGAACAGGCCAGAATACTACAGGGAGTCCCTTCTGCTTACATTTAAATATCTTCCATATGCACTGAATATAGTTTGGGCAAGAAGCAGAGATAAAGGTTAGCAAAGCAATGACATCTAGCCAAGGAGATTCAGTTTATAGACCACATTCAGACTGTAACTTGGTCTCTTATTTTTATATGCCCCAAAACACAAAATCAAGTTGGCTATCCATGGGCTGACAGCTTCTATATTATATGAAAGTATACTTTACATAGTTACCAAATATTTGCTGAAAACATAGCTCTAGGTCTTTAAGGATACGGCATCTATAACAGACACAGCTCCTACCTTCAATGAGATTTTGCATGTAGCTGAGATATCTACACAAGAAGCAGTAAGACAATAATTCAAGGCAGCATCTTAGGCTGTGTTGGTGAACAAGCAGGAGGACATGAAGATTAAGAAGAGAAGAATTCTTTGAGGACCCATGGGGGTCTTCCTTCTAAAGACCACTAGTGACCAGAAATTGTCCAAGTATCAGAAGTCTGGTAGTTGGGATGATCCTGGTTGGTGTTTCCAAGGAGTGGTTTCTATGAGGTCAACTGTGTTAGCAGTTAACATGTATTTCAAGAGATGGCAAACTTTATTTTTTTAAATATAATTAGACCAAAAACAGATACAGGACCTTGGGATGAAGTGGAAGCCTAGAACTTTCTTATAGTTTATGGAATTTAAATGCAGATTCACAACATTGTCAAAGCAGCAACAACCAGAACATGAGCCGAGATGAGGAGGCAGCCATCTGGAATAGAAATAGGCCATATGGGCCTCATAAGTCTGTCAAGTACCTGGACTCTTTCCAAATATCTTTGTAGGGTAGCATACCCTGGTGCTGGTTTGGGAAGATAGAAAGGTCATTTGACCTCTGAATGTATGAGACTTTTAATGTGAGCCTAGGTATTGTGGATATTCCACCATCTATGGAAGTGGTGTGAGAAGCAAAGGTCACCTCAGACATCTCACTTATTTCTCTTGTATCTCTGCTAGTCAGAGGACTTGTTGTTGCTGGAGGCAGGGAGGAGCAGCGACATTAGTGGCCATGTAAGGTGTTTCTATAATATGCCAAGGGCAAATTAATGGGAGTTCATCCAAAATTTGCCAAGTACGATGAAAGTCACTGCTCCTTTTACATTGTCACTTCTGACTAGTCATTAAAGGGCAGCTGATTGGGGATATATGAGGGACAATTATTCTTGGTACAGTGAAGCCAAGAGTCATCCATTCTGGCCAAATGAGAAAGAGCTTAGCAAATTTAAGACGTTTGATCTATATATCGCTCAAATCCCAGACGGTTTGGCTGATTGTTTTGTTCCCCCACTAATTGTTTTTTGCCCCTGTATTGTTCCTGACACCATGTTCAGAATGAATCAGTGGAGTGTAAAAATGATAGGACTCCACTCTGCTAGCAAAGAAAATAGAGCTTCCCAATGACATTGTTTTGCTCTTATTGAAACTCATTCCTTAGTGGAGATTTCCGTGATGGAGACTGAGCATCTTTTACTCATTTCTTAATATGGATAAAGACACTTATTGAGGACCTAATATATTCTAGGCACTATGTTCAGTGCTGGAAATACAAAACAACAAACAAATAACAACTACAAAAAAAAATTGATACTGCTCCTATTTGTTGTTCAGGGGTGTTTGGGCCTCTTAGTGAAACAAAGAAAATATTCAACATGTGGTAGATGTTATGGTGGGGGTCTCAGGGAAGATGTAGGGCAAAAGGTGGAGTGGCCACTTTTACATAGGGTGTTGATGTTAGGGAGAAGGGGATCCAAGGTTTCTTGGCTCCTATTTCTACAAAACTATATGACCTTTTCCTTCTTTAGGTCTTCAGTAGTCACTATGGGCATTTCTGGTGAGTGGTACAGGAAGTGTTTGGCATCCTCTTTTTATCCTTTGGATGAAGGGATGCTTTCCCACCTACCATAACATCAACGTAGTCACTTTGTTTACCATTGTCTGCTTGTTTTTTTTATCCTAGAAGCTTCAAACTTCTTTAATACTAATTGTGATGCGTTTAGGAAAATGCCCAATACTGTGTGCCCTGCAGAGTTGAAAATTTTGGAGTTTATGGGTTAAAACTGGTTTTCAGAAGTGGGCATGGCTCAGGTCAGATCGAGATGAAAAATGCTCGAGGACTTAAACAAGATTAATCTAAGGAACAACACTCAGATCAAAGTTGCCAGCCAAAGATAAAAGAATAAGACTAGGAAATAGACTGGTATTTGGACTAGGATTAATTAGCATGAGTATCTTTCTATTCTGGTAAAACTGAATGACTTTTTGCTTCTTCCCTCCTAAGAGTGCTTTTTCTGCCTATGAAGATGAACAACTCCATATCTTCTATTTCTGTGTTTATGCACATTTTTAACACTTGTATTATTACAATGTAGTTACTTATGATGGTTGTGTTCATTTTGACATAGTCATATTTGTATAAAATGTAATTTGCTGCATTTCAGTGCCCTGAGCCACCTCTTTCTCTATCTTCCTCCATTCACCTATTCTCCTTCCTCTACTCTATTGGTCTTCCTTATATTTCTTTATCTATTTTTAATTCATGCTTCACATATATACATAAAGGTAGGATTCACTGGGGTATATTTATACATTCACAGCATAGTTTTGTCAAATTCATTTTGCATCTCTTCCCTTTCCTGTTCCTCCTCCCTCCCCTTCACTCTCCTTCTACTCCACTCATCTTCTCTCTGTCTTTCTGGTATGCGATCCCCTTCACCCACATGTTTTTCCCTTTGCTCTAACTTCCATGTGAGAGAGAAAACATTGGACCCTCCATTTTTCGAGGCTGGCCTGTTTCACTGAGCATGATGTTTTTTCTTTTCACCCATTTTCCAGCAATTGCCAACAACTTTAAATCTTGACATCTGAAAAATGGACTTGATATTTTATTCAGATTCTTTTTAGTGTGACCTAAGAAGATGTAGAGGTCTCTACCCATCCTGATCAATTAGTTCTATCGCTACTATGGTGTCCTTTTCATGGTGACGTGGAAAGTAACCCCATGATCTAAATAGCAAAGTTCTGTTATTACTACTTAATGCAATTAGTTGAGTTGAAATGCTTTAATCTTCTGGAAGACCACCTGCTAGTCTGTGCAGTTCTGTTGTTCGGAAGGCATTGTTGAGTTTGTTGTTACTCTTTTCTGGGCATTTTCCTTCTCGAGGCAGTACAATCAACTTGACAGGAGACAACATAAGCATATTATCCTTGGCAATGTAGCCCAATTGTTTAGTCCAATTAGTGAGAGTCCCCATAGGGGAAGTGTAATGCTTGATTCATTTGTGGACCATCAAGCTTAAATTAGAAGTTACTTCAGATTTTATACTCTTCCCTGTATGACTTTTTCTAAATGTATGTGGCATTAATTTGGCAAGAAAGTAAATAGGACTCAGCACAAGTCCATCCTTATGTCAAAAAAGAAAAAGAAAATCCCACAGTACAAAGGTTATAGGCAGAATGGGACAATGGTTAATAGCATGCATGACATTTGGAGTTAGATCTTGATTCCTATTTTACTTTGTAGCAAGATGATGTACGATAAGTACATATTCTAAGTCTGAATTCTCTAATCTGTACAATGGAAGTACTATACTTACTCCATCTAAAGTATTCCTTGATGACCAACTATAGACTGAACTATGGCTAACAGTATCAAGGAAGTAGATTTACTGGATGATTACCTGGAAAATTTCAATCAAATGAACAGAGAAGCAGAGCAGCTGTACAAACCCCAGGGCACTGTTTGAGATCCTCCAACTTCTAGTTCCAGATTTTTTTTTTCACTTAAAGTTAGCCTGTTCCAAATAGACAGCCCATTTGGTTCAGTTTGGTTCCTCTGTCTATTACTACACCAGAGATGGAAGCTCATAGGTGCATATTTG